TAACTTATGTTTATTTGGAATCAACTTAAGTTGATTCTAAACCTATCGGGATTCCATTCCAACGTACAACATATATACTAACTTTTTGTAAAGTTTCAAGGTTAAAGTGCCTCTCTATATGGAAATATAGGTGCGAAAAACTTTTGTCAAGCACTGTAAAAACAATTATAATAATAATAAGCAAATCTTATTAAATAGATTTGAATATTTTAGGTAAAATAATATCTCTAAAAAACTTAAATTAATTTTTTTTATTAATAAATAGATTTTCAAAGTTTCATTAAATTAATGTTTTAAAACTCTCTTGATATAAACTATACAATATTCTTATTTTGTCAATAGTATACACAGGTAAACAGGAATCAAGTTTAATAAGTTGCACTATCATGTTAGATAATATCACAATATCATAAAGTAAATGTTTTTTTGACCAAATAGCAATCTTAGATATTGTATTTGTTGTGCCTTGTAAGGCATTAATACAAAGATAAAAATTCTTGTATATAATAAAAGTTTTACACCCCTATTAGCTGATTTGCTATCAAAATTTTGCCAAGCAACTCTTCAAATGCATTGTATACAAGATAAAAATGGATACTCTTGAAACTCACAATCAAAACAAAAAAATTTATAAGATCGAAAAAAATTATAAAATAAAAGATAAAATAAAAAAAAAAACTTATTTTACATTACAAGTACAATTTTTATAATATTTATATAGCTTTACAAAGTTACATAAATGTTTTATAAATTTTTATATAAATTTACTCAACATAAACTTATATAGTTAGAATTCTTGCATATAATTCAATATATATTTATATAAATTTTATTTAATATTATATAAACATAAAATTTATATTTAAGCTACTTTAGCTGTTTCTCAAAGGTTGCTAAGGTAATCGCCGCTCGATGACTAAATAAAAATGCTCAGCATGCTCGACAACCTTCCCCAAATCCTAATTTAAACTTTAAAAAGCCAATTTTAGCTTCAATTTAATTCAAAATTTTTGCAATTTTACGTAGTTTTAAATAAAAATATATATAGATTTATATAAATAACTATGTAAATCTACGTTGTATTTATAAAGTTTTTATAAGATCCAATAAAAATATTACATAATTTTATATAAAAATTTTAAATAGTCCATGTAAAAATATATTTGCCGAATTAACAATTTGCTTCATAATATGTAATGTTAACTATCATAAAACTATCATAAACAATCTGCTTAAGTATATTAGCATAGGTTACGCTCAACCAGCAATGCGTAATTTTTAAAATGTTAGTTGTCCTACATGTATAATGAATTTACTAATTTCCCCACCACTTCTGATTGGTTCTACTAATTATTCACATATCGGAGTATCTGTGTGATTAATCAATTTTGTAGTTCTACGATAGTGAAATGGTGGAGGAAATTAGGGCACACCATATATCATATCCTTAAAAAGCTTAAAACATATCTGAACTTATATTAATAAAATGTTATTTCTTTGATAAACTATTAATATATTCCCTTGCGAGATTTTTGTATACCTCTTTTTTATCATTACTGAGGTTGCTCCATAATTTGGCAGTCAACATGCTAATCTCATCATTATTCATATTACAAGGTACATTCCCAATTCTTCTAGAAACTTGCTTCCGAAAAATAACATACGGTGCCATTGGCTTAAGTGAATTTCTTTTATTTCTCTTATTGAATTGGTCGAGAAGGTCGGGATCAGAATCCGCAAGCAGTTGCTGGTAAGTCAACGGGGTCTGAATATTGGATAAAAAATTTTGGATCTAATGGTAAAATGAAAATTAGATATTGTTATACTGAAAGCTCTGTGCGGACTTTAAAGCAATGTTACCTCATTATCAATAGAATCGGCTTTAACAAAATTAATAACATTACTGTAAATTTGGGGAATAGGGCCTGGTTCTGGATCAGCAAGTGGTTGCAGGTAATTCATCGAGGCCTGAATATGTTGAATCTAAATATTAAAATTGATAGATTGAAATCTAGAGATTGGACCAGTTGAGAAAATCTCTACCCGGGTTATCCGGGTAAGTTATTATATATTTCGGGTAATCGTATGGTAACAATTTCTACCCGGGTCCAATCCTTACTGAAATCTATGTGTAGGCTTTAAAGCAATATTACCTCATTATCAACGGAATCGACATTGTCAAATTTAATAAAATTGGTAATGGAATTAGGGTTGAAAAGGCTCGAATATGAGTCTTCCTTATGAATCAATCAAATGGAAAATTAAGATTATATTATTTTATTTCTGATGCATCTATTGTTTGATATCGCTGAATAATCACCTTGATGAGACCATATTCTTCACAATTTACCAATCGGAAATCTGCAATTACGACATAATTACCGAATCGGTTATGACCGTGCGAAATTTAAATCTCATGACTATGAGAAAAGACAGAATAGACGGAAATCTGCAATTACGACATAATTACTGAATCGGTTATGATCGTGCGAAATTTTGTTCGATCAAAAGTTGCAGATTGCAGCATCATATCCGATTGTGTAATTGTGAAGTGCACACGACTGTGTAATTTTTTTTTTAAATCATAATAGTGAAGTGTACTTCCGAGCAATAATCGTTGCCTGTCACGAGTGACCTGTACATTTTTACCAATCATTTCGGTTATGTGCAAATTTAAATCTCATGACTATGAGAAAAGACAGAATGGGCGGGAAATCTGCAATTACGACATAATTACCGAATCGGTTATGACTGTGCGAAATTTTTTGCCTGTGCAAATTTTTTTTTGAATTAAAAGTTGTGTCAAGTCCGATTGCGTAAGTGACCTGTACATTTTTACCAATCATTTCAGTCATGTGCAAATTTAAATCTCATGACTATGAGAAAAAAACAGAATGGATGGGAAATCTACAATTACCAAATTGGCTTTTTTCAGATCAAAATTTGCAGATTACAGCATCAGATCCGATTGCATAATTGTGAAGTGCACTTCCAATAAATACGTACGTACGTACGTACGTACTTACGAACGCTTTGAATTACGATCATATCTACAGCTGTTTTCATAAATTCCGGATGGCGAAAAATTTTCTCGCTTTCCGAAACCTCTTCGATCTCGTTCTAGAAATTACCTAACTTTTCAGAAACTACTTCGCTGTGCTTGGAATTTTGATACAGAGATAGCGAAGTAGTTTATGAAAAGTCAGATAATTCTTGGGACGAGATCGAAGAGGTTTCGAAAGACAAGAAAATTTTTAGGTATCCCAGAATTTATGAAAACATTGTAAACAACATACATATCCAGGTTTATTAAACCTTTACACATTGCACTACTTCGTTTTAGGATCCTAAACACAATAAATCATACTATGTTAATTACAATTAAAGGTGGCTTTGATAAATTTATCATACGAAAAACTGAAAGTCGAAATTATACCAAAGGCCAAGAGTTTTACCGAAATCGAAAGTCTTATCAAAAGTCCTGCCGAAAATCAGAAGTTTTATCGAAGCAAAACTGAGAATGTTAAGTCAAGAAAGCAGGTAAAAAAATATATATATATGTCTACATTCTGTATATTTTGTTTATTTTTGTTGTTTTGAAAATCTAAAAACTAAATAAATTTTTGGACAGCGATTACTAATTTCTCTAGCATTTTCAAATTTGTAATTTTATAATTTCAGTAGTAGGTGTGTTTGCGATATCAACAGTGGGTAAGTTCATAATTTTAATAGCGGGTAATCAGTAGTACGTATGTTCATTATTTCAGAAATGGGAGCAGGTAGATTTATAATGATTTTAATAGTGGGTGGGTTTGTTATTCCAACAGTAAGTGAGTTAGTAATTTAATAATGTAGTTAATACAGTAGGCAAGTTAATAATCTCGATAGTTGGTACTTAAACTAAGTGAATCCGTTATTTCAATAGTGGGTAAGTTTCTGATTTCAATATTGAATAATTTACTGTTTTCATAGTAAGTAGTTCATGAAAGGGCGCCAGCGGCGCTCCACTAATACTTGTTTTAAATAAAATAGTAATTTATTAATGATATAGAGTATATATTTATTATAAAATATATTCTTAAAAACATATTTTTATAAATTTTATTATAAAAATTCTTAAAAAAGATAATTTATACATTGTATATGCAATGTTGTTGCCTTCATAAGATCAGGTATAATATAAACCAAAACAACCAAAAATAAACTGAATTATTTTATATAGTTAGGGTTGGGTTGAGTTAGGATATAGACGAAGAGGAAGCTTTATAGTAAAATTTTGCAAAGAATTTTTGGCTGATCTTTGTATAGGTGAACATATATAATTAATAATATATATTAATTAACTATTTTAAACTAATTTAAGTAATTTTATAAATTATTAGAGTCAGTACTAAAGTTAGAATTTAAATTAGCTCAAATTAGTTAGGTTTTATATATTATAATTTTGTAATAATTGATATATGCTCACCTATACTAAAGAAGATCTAATTTTTTGTTAGAGCACAAAAGGTGGGTTTATATGTGAAATTTTGAATTATAGATGATTTTGTCAAAATGAACATTTATTTTAAATTTTTTAATTATACTATATTATACCTGATCTTGAATTTTTATTGATCAATCATATAAGGGTAAACATCACAGAGGCAATAAATAAATATATTGTTTTTAAAATTATTAATAAACTTTTTGTGATACTTTCGGTCCGAACTCCGTAAATAAGGACTTCTATTAGGACTCGGTCCTCGAGTCCGTGCATGTACTGTACTTTGGTCAAATCGATCTCGATGTAAATTATTCAATCACATGCATGCCCTTCTAGAACAAAAGACATGCATATGGGACTTTATACGGGACAGGCTTGAATCGATCTTAAAGAGTCTGTGTGAAGTCGACTTAAGGACTGGGTCCGACAAGCTTTCTAACAGCCCTACATACGACATATATGTACCTTAACACGGCCATAACCCTGAAGTTAATTAGAAAATATTAATTTATGAGCTATCTTCGTTTTAATATCCTACTTATTTGGGATTGCATCTTTTGTGACTATCGTTAACCAGTATAACAAGATTTTTTTGGGAAAAGAAACTAAGTACGTGCGTATGTACATGACAGAGATTTTAACGTTAGAACGTTATATCACTAATTATATGTAAATTTTTCATTCACTTTATTTTTATTAGTGTTCCAGGGCAACCAGGGCAGGCGGAGTTAAACACTTTTTTCAGTTTTTAGTCATTTTGCGCACGTGTCGGGTAAAAACAAGTTTACGTTCTCTGATTGGCTAATTTCCCTTTTTGGGTTTGTATCATACAAATGTATGTAGTACAAATTAAATACAGTACATAAGTCCGTGTGATTCACATGAAGTTAAATCTTAATCTAAAATGACTATCAAATTTCTTGAAAGACTTTCTAACAATTTAAGTGACCTTCTTAATGATAGTGATGAGTATAATGTTACGATTGAAGTTGATCAAATACCAAACACACAAATATTTAAAGCACATTCTATCATTCTAAACTCTCGATGTCCTTATTTTAAAAATAAGCTAAGCGAAATTGCTTATGGTAAAGGAAACATAAAATCAGTTAAAAGAACTGATATCTCTGCTAAAGCCTTTGATATTATTATCAAGTAAGCAACAATATCCTACATTAATTAAATTCAAAGTTTCTAACTTTCTCAATAATTTATAGATATATTTATAGTGGCACTATTTCATTAGAAAGCGTTGAAGCTTCGATTATTTTTGATCTTCTAACTGCTTCTAATGAATTCGGTCTTGAAGAATTAGTTAAAGTTGCTCAACAAATTTTAATTGACAACAAAGCTTCTTGGTTACGCTTAAATTTTGCTCGTATTTGTAAAATCAGCATTATGAACGATAATTTCAAAGCTTTACAACAATTTTGTGCGAATATTATTTGTAAATATCCGAATATTATTTTTGATTCTGATGAATTTATTACATTTCCAGAAAATATTATAATTTTTATCTTGAAACTCGATGACTTACGAATGGATGAAGGAAAAATTTGGGACTATATTATTAACTGGGGGATCGCTCAAAATCAAACTTTAACTCATAACACTGATCCTGAACAATGGTCTGATGAAAATTTTTCATCTTTGAAAAATACGCTTAAAAATTGTCTTCCTCTAATCCGTTATTTTCATATTCCTGGAAAAGAAGTTCACGAGAAAATTCGACCTTATCAAAAAATCCTTGAACCAAAATTGTGGAATGATATTATGTTAAAATTTATGTCACCAGATCAACCTATTAATTCTAAAATATTACCTCCTCGAAATATTCAACTTGAATCCCTTCCTTTACAAAAATATACATCTGAGATAGATAAATTTAGGAAATATAGTGAAATCTATTTTAATACGGGAAATTATAACAAAGCGCTTGAATATTTAACTAAGTTGTTGGAAGTTGAACAAGACGATGTATTCGCATTAAAATTTCGTGGTGCAACATATCTCATGACGAGCAGATTTAATGAAGCTCTTGTAGATTTAAATAAATCATTAAATTTTAAACCAAACGATGCGTTTGCATTAAGAAATCGGGGAGAAACTTATCGTAAGATTCTTAAGTATAATGAAGCACTTTCGGATTTAACTAAATCATTGGAAATTGAACCTGATAATGCATTTGCATTAAGGAGTCGGGGTGCAATTTATCATGATACGGATAAATACCATGAAGCACTTTTAGATTTATCAAAATCATTAAAAATTGAACCAAATAATGCATTTTCATTAAGAGGTCGGGGAGGAATTTATCGTAGACTGGGAAAATACGATGAAGCACTTAAGGATTTGACTAGATCGTTAGAAATTGAACCGAATAATTCATTTGCACTAGATAACCGGGGAGAAACTTATCGCATGTTAAACGAATATGAAAAAGCATTTACAGATTTAACTAAATCATTACAAATTA